GATGGTAGAAATGCCTGCCAAATTGTGCGTGGCTGTTTATGGCAGATGAGAGAGTCATCCAGAAATTATAGCACTGGATCAACAAGTTGTGAAGAAACCTGTTTGCACAGGAATGCACCCTGAGGGCAGTGGGACACGGCAGGAACAAGGAGGGTCTTGAAGGAGAAAAGGGCTGGAGGTGGCCAACTCTAGTTGTAGGGTATGCTTGACAGGAGATAAAAAATTAATTTCTGATAAAAAATCATAGAATCGTTTATGTTGGAAAAGACTTAAAATCAGTGAATCTTACTTTAACCCCTCACTGCCAAGCTCCCCCATCCCTGCAGAGCTGCTCACTCCCATGCATGGCTGCCCAGGGACAAGGAATATCCTGCCTCTGCTCAAAGAGGGAATCCAGTGAATTGTGGTGGTTTCTTTCCCTCATGAGGATTTCCTCACTTGAGCACTGTGGCACGGAAGGCAGACACACATTCTGCAATGTTCCTCCCCTGGATTTCTTTTAAATTTTAAAATACTCATATTTGTTACGAGTCCCCTGCAAAGGTGTTTAAGTCTTTGGGTTTTGGTGCTGTAGGAGAGGGAAGGGTGTCACTGAGGCTCCGTGTGGGCTGTGTGCAGGGCACAACGATCCCCATGCAGTGTCTGTCTCAGTCCTCTGGCCAGATTGGCCCTGGTTTGTTTCCTTTGAAATAGAGTACATTTTAGTGGTGCCTGAGTGGGTTTTTTGTCATCAGGTCTCATTTACTGGTCCCTAAGGGCCTGACTGTTATCCCAGTACCGTGTAAGTTCCCCTTGTAGGACAGTAATGTCAAAATCCTCACGTCTCTTCTCCTTTTCCCTTCCTCTTCCCCTTCATCATTCATGGCTGAGTTGAGTTTACTTGGGGGGGATTCCAGCATCCAGCAGCTTTGGGGTCCTCGTTAGCATTACGCTGCTCATAAGGCAAATGTCAGCAGGAATCCTGACTTAGAAATTGCTCAAGAGTTCATCGAGGGAGAGTTTATCTCTCAGCACTGACCTTTGTTGTTGAGCACAGGTGAACGTGTGGGCAGGGTCTGTGTGAGCGTGGCAGTTTGCAGGAGAAGGCTCTGGATGTGCATCCCTGCCTGCTGCCCCTGCCTCAGCCAGGGCTGCCACGCTGCTTTGGCTTCCAGCTCTTGGCTCCTTGACATAAAGCACTTGGCTGAAGGTGGAGGAGCCTCTCACGGGCAGGTTAAATGGGGATAAAGGCACTCTGCTGAAGGATGGCTTGGTGACAAAGCCTCACTGCCTGAAGAGGTCCAGCTCTTGCTGTGCCAGCCCTGCACAGCAGCTCCAACTCCACCAGCACCAATGTTGGCATTGAAAAAGCCTGCTGGGGCTGCTTTATGAAGCCACATTTTTTATATCATTCTGTGCCCCATCTCCCATTCCCTCACTGCTTTTCAGTGTCCCCCAAGCCACTGTGACACTGGGCAGAGTAAGCCTGAGGCTCCCCAAAGCCTGTCCCTCAGGCTTCACCTGCTGATCAAAATTCACAGGCTCAGAGTCTTCTCTGTTAGAAAAACCACAGCAAATTCAAAGTGAAGCAAGCAAGACATTAACCTGCCCTGTTCCATCACTGCCAGAGCTCCTGGCTGCTGGCCCTTGATCTCCATCAGCACAGGAAGGAGCTTCTGTAGTCCAGAGGATGGAGGATGGCTGGGGCTGAAGATAAAAGGTGGTTGGCTGTGACTTACAAGCACATCTAATCTTTTGCACGTCTCTTCTGACCTTGATCTATCACAGGGCTTCCTGGGGACACTTGGGAGTGTGAATTTTGCATAGAGGAAGCCTTTGAGCTGGCGGTGCTTAGGCACAGTCTCAGAGCTGTGCAGTTGCCTGCTGCAGGATGGTTTCCTGTGCACTTGGTTGGGAAATGGGACCTGGAATGGTTCCTTTGCTGCCAGGATTTCCTGAGTGCTGGCAGTTCTTGGAAGGGGAGAAGATGGCCCTGCCAGCCCTCAGTGACTGCTGGGTCAGTCTGATGGATCCAGAGTCAGGGGTTCCTGGTCAGCTCAGCCCATGCCTCTGCTGGGACCAGGCAGCAGGTCAGGCTTTGCTCCTGCTCCTGGCATCAGGTCACAGTCAGGGTTCCCTGCCCTCCACGGACAGCACAATCCCTGACAATTCTGCAGCAATGAGCTTCCAAACATCTGCCCCAGTTCCTGTTCTTGCCATGGCATCTTGTGGCCAGGGGAAAGGCTCCAATTCCTTCCAGCCTGCAAGGAATTAATGCCAGTGCTCTGCAATTCCCACTGTTCACAGCAGCCTTGGACAGCTCCTGACAACCCCCAACATCAGGAATTTTGTTATAAGGACACAGGTTTCCAAAAAGCATTAACTTTTTTAGTGGTGCAGTATCTGGAGTCTAGAGGATTGCAGGCATTTTCCTTCTTCCTTTTAGTCACAGGGTACTCCAGGTTTGTGTAAAACAAACTTGTTTCCAGGTAGTTCTTGCCAGAACACATCAGGAATGGCTTTTTGGGGCAGTGGCTCAGGGTCCCTTTGCTGCTGTGGTGGTGAAGGTGCCTCTGGCTCCAGGTGAGCTCACCCGAGCTCCTGGAAGAAGACAAACACTTAGCAACCAACCATGGCTGAGCAAATCATTTAAATACAGCTTTCTGAGGCTGCTGAGCCTGCTGCTAATTATGGGAGCTTTCTGTGTCATTTGTAGGGTCTGGAGCGAAGTGGTGGCTCTGGAAAAGCTTCCAGCTTTTTCTGTGGAGTTTTTCAGGCACCAGATGGAGAGGTGCCAGGGCGTCCCAGCCTCCACACAGCACTTCCCAGGCAGTGGAGCAGCCCTTGGCATGCCCTTCTCCCTCCTGTGAGCAGTGTGGGGTGTTGAACCCCTGGTCAGTAGATGAAAAATTACCTTTTCATGCCCCACCTGAATCACCAGCCCACTGCCAGCTCTTCCTGCAGGTGTGAAAGCCTTACCTCCAGTCTTAAGAGATGCAAACGAGAGTGGCCAGGGTGGGACGTGGGCTGTGGGGGCACAGAGAGTCCCTCTGGTTCCTCAGGTGGTTGTTCTGGAGGTTTCTGGTGCTGCTGTGGGGTTTGCAGGAGTATTTTACTAACAGGATGCCCCTGGCCATGCCAGGTCCTGCTGTCACTCGGAGCAGCCAACTGGGTTTTCTGTGTGACTTGGCAGGAAAATTCACATCCATTTTATTGAACCAGAGGGAAGAAAAAGGGGGAAAAGTGCTGGCTTGTAGTAATAAAGGGCTTTGGAACATCTCAGCTGGATATTTTTCTTCACGAGTGAGAAGGCCAAATGTTATCTTGACATTTAATCTTTAATAATAAAAAAAGGCTCTTTGTTTGCCAGCGAAGTCCAAAATCTGTTTACTCTCTCATGCCTTATTTCTTTGAACTTGCTAGCTTAGATGTCCTACTTACCCTCCCCTGCTCCCAGTCCAGAGCTGTGGTGAATCATTTATTGTGCAGAGCTGACTTTCCTGTCACCACAGAGCCGCCAGCTGCCAGGTGTGCTCCTCTGGGCCAGCTCATTCCTTTGAGAAGCGGGGTCCCTTTGGGTGGGCAGCGCAGGGCAGGGGGCCAGGGCAGCAGAGGTGCAGCCTGTGCCCACCACAGCACCCTGGTGAGGGCACAGGGCTGGCTCCAGGCTGGTCTGCAGGCCCAGGAGAGCCCTGTGGTCAGTGCATGCAGCTCTGACCCACGGGCACGGGTCACTGGGGCCGCCAGACCTCAAAACCCGTTCTGGGCTTCAGTGGAGGTCGTGGGGGCCAGAGGCCAAGGCTGCAGTAGCCCTGGGGCAGCCTGCAGGGGTGGGCATGGAGGTGATGGGGAGGTGCCCAGGGGGTTTGGGGCAGGCTGTGATGTTGTGCCCACGTGTCCTGGCGCTGCCCACGGTGGGTGTGGGCAGAGCAGGCTCCCTGTGCTCCCCAGGGACCTTGCAGGTGCCCCCCAGGTGTAGCTCCAGCCTCCCACAGCCATCTCCATCCAGCTCCTCCCAGTCCGCTGACTTTTCTTTCGCATTGAAACTTCTTCCTCATAAATTCTACATCCAAGAGCAGCCGTGAGAAATGCCAGAAGCCTGATCATCTAACATGCTTTAATATCTAAATTTCTTCTTCAGTATCATTCTTATTTACATTGTTTTTCTTTCTCAAAAAAAAAAATTAAGGGAGGAAAAAAATTAAATTTTCTTTTACTTCCACATTAGGAGGTGAGTTGTCATCCACCCTCTGGAATTCTTTTTTGCTTTTGATCTTTATTTATTTGTTTAATTTTGGTTGATGTCCCAAGCATGGTTTTGGAGACGAAGGTAGGTCTTCGCTCTCCAAATCAAAAGGAAAAAAAAAACCTAAGTAAAACAACACTCTCCTTGGTCATATTTAAAAGAGAAAAATCCAAACTGTTCCATTCCATATCATTTAAAGAAAAAAAAAATCAACTACTGAACTATTTCTACAGCTTACTGATCTAAAAGGGCGGGTTTTTTCCAAAAGTATCGAATGGATCCAAAAACGATTTTCCTAGACGTGATTCAAGTTGTTTGCTGTCAACATTTTAATATCAATATTACCACAATGTGTAGTCTCAAACTAGTTCCTTTGTAGTTTGCATGGGATGTGAATGCTGTCTCGGCGTGCCCAGACCTAGAGAACTTGTTACTACTGCATGAGCATCAAGTCAGATGTTGAAAAATACCTATTCTATTTTGTGATAATTTGGTGAAAATGAGCACCTCCAGTCTCTGGTTGCAGTAGTGTGTTGAATGATTGTTCTTTTTTTTATTTTTCTTTTTTTTTTATATATATCCATATATATATTTTTGGAGCTCTAAGCTTCGTAGTAGTCCGGGCTGACTCTTCTCCAGTACTTGCTCTCCTCTCGCATGGCCTTGGTTAAGTGTTAGAATTGGGCCTAGGCTGTTTATTCTGGTGTTTGGCTTTGTAATACCGGTGCATGCCCGGCGTCTGGCCTCATACCCAGCTTTATTCTCTGCACACCAGTCTTGAATAGCTACAGTGCTCAACCGAATTTTGGCGCACCCGCTTCCCCGGCAGGCTCCAACCCAGCGCGGCCCGGAGGCTTCCCCGGGGCCAACAGCCCCGGGCCCGTGGCGGATCTCTACGGCACGGCCAGCCAGGACTCCGCCGTGGGCAACTACATAAGTGCTGCCAGCCCGCAGCCGGGCTCGGGCTTCGGCCACGGCATCGCCGTAAGTACCCGGGCACCCGCGGGCTCTGGGAGGGGTCTGGGGGGGTTTGGGGGTGGTGGTCCCGTGGCCAGCGGGGCTTCTCGCTGCCGGAGCCTGCGAGCCGGGCCCGACCCGCGGTACCAGCTGGACTGTGGAGTGATGGCTGAGAATCAGGAGTTCCAGGTGGAATTGGTGAGGTTGGGAAAAACTGCGGAATTACGGAGTCCAGCCTTTGGCCAATCACCCCTCGAGAACCAGACCACATTGCTAATTGCCACATTTCCAAGGCTGGGGACTCCTGTGATCAGTCACTCTTGCACTGAAGAAGTTTTGTCCTGATATCCAACCTGAACATCTCCCGGTGCAAACACTCCTTTGGAGCCGTCTGCAGCCAGACATGACACGTTTCAAAGAAAAATGCTTAATAAATACGGGATTTAAATCCCTGCTTGTCCATGTGGGCTTCACATCAGCCCAACTACCCCTCCTGGCTGCTGCACCCTTTGGCAGGCAGCGCAGCAGTCCCTGCTGCCACTAAACGAGCAAAATCAGCTCATTAATTTGTCTGGCTGGACCCGCAGCAGGGGGACAGGCCGTGTCCTGCTGCCCTTCACCTGTTTGCTGCCCTTGGGTCACTTCCAGCTGGTGCTGGTGGCCCTGGCAGCCCCCGAGAGCCGCAGGTTGGCAGCGAGGGGCCGCGCTGGCCGGGGGTCCCCGGGAGGTGCCTCCTAACGCGCCGTGGGGCTGCCGCGCACTAATGAGGGACAGAGATTGGCTTAACGAGGCTGCACGTGGCTGTGTCACCTGTGTGTGAGCATGAATGGGGCTGGCCTGCCCCCTGGCACCCCCAGCACAGGCTGCTGCCCTTTTGGAGCGCAGTCGGGAGCTGGGTTTTGTCTCCTGGACAGCGAGGAAGTGCAGGGGCTCCCCCCGAGGTCCCTCAAACCCAGAGGAGAACTCCCCTCCCGATGGAATTGGATGGGGGGAGCAGGAGTGTGGTGCAGACAAAGTTCCTGGAGGTGTTGTTTTTATTGCAGAAAAGACAAACAGACCCTCTGCCTGGCTCTGTGCCCGTGTGCTCAGTTCCCATCCCGGGCCTGCCCCTCCCGTGGTCACACCATGGGCTTGACAATCCCTGTGGATCAATTCTAGCACAAACATGGAATATTACTGCTCTGCAAGGAGCTACATCAGTTCAAACTGCCACCTCTCACCACTTACAACACCTCTAATTTCCATTTTTCACCTGAAAACCTGTTTGTGCTTGAAAACTTGGGCACTTTTGTATCAGCAACATCCCAATTTTTCAAGTGAAAGGACACCAGGTCCAAGCCTGGGTATCCAGATTTGTCTGCACCAACGCTTCCCAAAGAACCATTTTATAATTGACTTGCAGATTGTGGCCTCTTAATTCTCCCAATAACTGCAAAGAATCCCATAGCTTTTATTACATATGTATTTATTTAACACTCTCCATTTACTAACCCTGGTTTAAAAATAAAGAAGGGAGAACCCCAAAGCTTATTTTTGCACCTGGGGGAATGAGAAGATGATGGTCTTGGAAAGGTGACCATAGGGCTGAGCACACCTGGTGACCAGAACAGCTCTTGGAAATCCCTATTCATGCTGGCAACACAGTCTTTCAAGTCCTTTGATAATTTCTTGGCAAAAATTAATAATCAGCTGTTCCCATGTATAGAGCACTGATGAACTTAACAATTGTACAATTTTAGGGACCTTTGATTGCAACGGCTTTTACAAATGGATACCATTGAAACGTTACACATGGTTGGTTGCCATCTCACTTGGAGGTATTACAGTATATCCCATTTGTACTTTGTGCTGAACTACCATCTCCCCTATATTTACTTTAAGTGAACAATTTTTTATCTTCATTTCGTCTTTCCTTGGCCTTTAATCATTCCTTTCTGTGATTTGTGTTACTCAAATCAACCTCACGGGCTGGAAACTGGAAGACAGATCCAAAGCTAAACCAAAAGTCACTTTTTCATCTTCATGATGCTTCATGCAGTAATTTGAAGAGGCAGAAAACCCAGAAGGCAGTGGGGAATCACCCCCAGTGCCAGCAGCCAGAATCCCAGTGGGATCACAGATCTGCTCCCAGAACACTGCTTTAAAAATAGCTGAGCCCCACTGCTTTATTACTGAGAAACCATCATTCTTAATTAAGTGCTGTACCAAATATTACAGCTAAAAGATAACATTGTAACTTGTAACCATAGAGCAATTATCAAGATTAAAAAAAAATTAAACCTGAGCAAATTAAATTAAAGGCATTACCTGAGCACCGCAGCCCTGGATCGCTGCCAGTTTCCTACCCTTTGAACTAAGCTCCAGTTAATTAAATGTTTAATTTTTATTTTTTATTATTATTTGGCCTTTGGCATATTCATCTTTGCAAACAAATATTCTTAACGCTCGGAATGGAATAGATTAGAAAATGCAATGAAAAACAGAAGTTACCCCAGTTAAATGGCACGGGTCTGCCTCCAGAGCTCTGAGCCCGGACAGGCAGATGGAATGGATGTGACAGATTTTATTTCCCTGCCTCTTGCCCAGCACTACATGATCAATGTCACATCATTTACGTTCAAAAATCAGTCTGTGAAATTAGAATTAAAGTTAGTCGAGGGGCTGGGAACTGTGGAAAACGTTCAGAGACTTTAAGCTACATAAAAATAGATTTATACCTAAACACTGGTGGATAAAGGGGGTTTCTATTTACTCTCCATCTCCACACACACCCCCAAGATTACCTGAAATTGTTCTGTCAATTGATTTGCTCCACCAAGGAGTGTTTTTTATGGGAAAGAAAAAAGTGCCATAAGCACTCTTGCTTAATCCCAGCTATTACTTGCACGTAGCAGGGCCTGCTCTGCCATCAATTTGTCAGAATCCTTGCCGTGGCTGGGCTGCCAGCCTGTGGAGCAGCGAGGTGTGCCCGGGGCCAGCTGGAGCCGGGCACAGCACCGTAACTCGGGCTGATAACCGCGCTGGCTGACGGGCTGCGGGCACGGCTCACCCAGCACAGCCCCGCGCGCTGGCCAGCCTGGAGACTCAAACCATTAACGACTTAAAAACAAACTGCTTTCAATGCCGCTCATTACTAATTAAAATGGATTTTGAGAGGAGGAAAAGAGCCTTATTATGAATTCCTGGAGGAGCGCTGCGTTTGAAACGCTGGCGGCCGCTCCTGGCGTCCCCCGGGCAGGATTCGGCTGAGCTGCAGCTTCCCAGGGCAGGGATCAGTGCCCACATCCCTGCAGGATGCTGCTGGGACCTCACCCAGCACAGCTCCTTGGGGATGGGGTTTGGAGGTCATCAGGGAGCATCCTGTCCTGGCCTCGTCCCCGTGAGCGGCTGCCTGCAGAGCCAGTGCCCTAAATATTTGTATTTCTTTTATACATCATGTATCTCAGCTTTAAGCACTGGCAGGGACTGAAGCTCCCGTATAAAATAAATCCTGGCTGCCTCAGTGTGCCCAGGTAAAACTTGTCACCTTCCAGGTACTTCAGAGAAAGCCCATTTTCCCAAAGCTGTGTGAATTCATGGCCTAACAGACGCCTGAGGAGCCGTTTTTGTGCTGGCCATACATCAACTCACATTTTACTGTTCCTAAACTGCAAATAAGAGCAGGGAACACACGAGACCCCCTCTCCCGTGGAGGCTGTCCTGGGAACACCTCAGCATTCCAGCCCTCTGGGGTGGATGGGGCAGGCTGTGGCTGCAGAGTGTTTGCAAACACTTTGGGGGTTTTTTATTAGAAATCCTAATTCACCTCAATTAACTGTCCCTCTCCCGTGTCCGTGTCCACCTTCTCCCCACGCAGAGTCTCTCTGGATGTCCAGGCAAGACAGGGCGAAGTTTCTGAAGGGGCCCACGGTTGGGTGATCTCATCAGACTTTGAGCACTACATCATCATCACCATCATCATCATCATCATCACCGCCAACGCAAACTGGAGGTGGCACTCGAAGGACTTGGGTTGTTTAAAATCTCTCTCATCATCTCATGAATCTGCTGTACTATAAAAACAACAGCTTTTAAAAGTATGTATATAAAACCCATTTCTTGTTCGTTTTATTTTCTCGATGGGTTCCCCCCCTCTTTTTAAGCCTCTCCAAACCCACATCTTTTCGTAGCCTTTCTGACATAGTCTCGTAGCCACGTAGTCGCGATTCTTTGTGTATGTAGCGAGAGCCTAACCATAGTGGAACTGTTATATTAAGGGGTTTCTTTTGCTTTTTCTTTCCCACCTCCCCTCCTCCTCCTCCTCCTCCTCCTCCTCCTCTTCCTCCCTTCTGTTCTACGTAGTTGTTGTTGCTTAAAGGATGCTGAGATGGTGGCAGGAGCCTCGGCCGCGGGGGGAGCGGAGCCGGCGGCGGGCGCGGCGCGGGGGGCTGGCAGGGCACGGGGAGGGGGGAGCAAAGGTTCTCTGGCCCTTCTTTTCCTTTGTGGCGTCTTGGTTACTCTGATTCTCTCTATTTTCGGCAATAAGGCGAGGGCGACAAACTTTTTGCGCGTCCTTTTTCTATATAAGTGCTTTTTTTTGTTGAAAGAGGTGATATAAGGTTTTTTGAAATTGTGAATTCTGAAAAAAAAAAAAAGAAAAAAATAATAAAGTGCTGTAAATACAATTCCATTAACTACATAGAAACTATTAAGAAAGAGAAATACAAACCTATTTTTGTGACGGAGTCAGCCTAAGGCAGTTTCTCTCTGGAAATGGATGGACAGGACAGGAGGTTGCAGCTTTGGGAGCAGCTGCCCGGGGCTGTGCTGAGGTGGGACCCTCCCAGCCTGCCCAGTTCCCACCAGCAGCTTCGCTCTCACACTGCTCAGCTTGCAAAGGAACAGTCTGGTGGTCTTTTTATTTTAATTTAAAACCTGCTTTTCCCAAAACTGATCAAGAAGCTACGATTTTTCCTACTTAGCGCATTTACGGTTCAAAGCACACTTTGTTTTGGTTTTGGTTTTTTTTTTAATTTTTTTTTTTTTTAGTCATTGTTTTAAACTAGATCAACTTGCTGTCCAGTCATTTCAGCTGCTCTGGGCACCCCACGAGGGCAGAGCAGCGTCCAGCTTGCATGGTTTCCTTTATTATCCATCATCACTTTCTGTATTGTCAAATTAGAAAGCAACTTTGGTTGGTTTTGATTTCTTTTTTTTTTTATTTCTTTTTTTTTGGTTTTTTTTTGGGAATACCTCAGTGCTACAAGTTTCACCCTAGAAGCAATGGAAGATTTTAATTTATTGTAGTTGTAAACAGAATTTAAAAGAAATAAAGTATAAAACATCATTGCACTGTGACTGGTAGGGGAAAAACTGACAGTTTCCTATTTGCACATGTTTAATATTTGGCTGTTATATATATGGTCCTCTGTTGGGGGAGGAAACTTATGAAGGATATTTTTTAATTTAATTTTTTTAATATTGGTAAATAGGCCTGCAACAGCAAACTAGAAATACAACATGGTAGGTGGCATTAAGAACATACTGTAGTGTGGATATATTTCTTCTTTTTTTAACGTAATATTGACAAGTTTTATTAATATTTTTTTAAATTGTTACGTTTATAAATTTGGTACTTTAGGTACAGCCAGTATAAGACACTGAATGCGACATTTGTTAAAAAGAGCTGCTGCACTCCTATTTTTGTAAATTTTACTAACAAGTAGACTAATGTAGACATTCAATAGACAAGGTAGAGCAAGGCATCTTTAACAAAACAAGGCACCATACTGCTAACCGAAAGGAGAAACCTTGTTTTTCTTGTTTTTAAAAAAAAAATCATGCTTTTTATGTAATATTTTAGGTTTTTTTCTTATTTCAGAACAACCAGGTTTAAGCAAAATGCTGGACGCTTTTTAAATATTGAGACTTGATCAAGTAATAAAAGAAATAAAACCGAATTCTTTAAAAAATAAAAAGGTAAAAAAAAAATACTACGAACCAAATTCCCTGCGATTCAGTGTGCCGTCAGGGAATTTTTTATTGCTATTTTGTCAATGTTGATGATGTACTGTACTACCAGTTGGTTTTCCTCTCCATTCCCTGTCACCTCATAGAATATTCTTTGTTGATCATTGTTGTATGTTAATAGTGTATAAAATGGCTTATCTTGTAAGAGTGCTGTCCTGATGGTAGTGTAGTGAATTTTTCCCCCCCTCTTTCTCTCTTCCTCTTCTAGTACATATTGGTAGGTGTATCGTAATTAAGGTTAAAAATTTAGATGTAGTTATTCAGATTTAGGACCAGTAAGGATAGAACTTTCTCTTATTTAAGGAAAAAAATGCTAATAATTTTGGGAAGGTTTTCCTTTCTTGTTTTTTTCTTCTCTTTTTTCTTTCTGTGCTTTTTTTTTCTCTTGTTTATTATTTTTCTTCTGTTGATCTGATGCGGTTTCAACTAACCAAAGGTCTCACAATGTTAAAAATGCTGGCAAACTCTTAAGGCATTTGTAGATCCCCACCCATGACTTTGGAAAGGGGATGTGCCATACTACCTTAAATGCTAATGCTAGATATGCAAAACTGGATTTTTTTAATTTATTTTTTAAAAGAGGGAGGCACGGTATATTAAAACGATTTTACTAAGAGAAAAAAAAAAAACATATTTTTTTAAGAATGCTCAGAAGAAATTGCTAATCTGTGTGAATATGTTTTAGATGTTTATATACCTTTTGAGAAGTCCCAGTGGCCCATAGCACAAATGTCGTGGAATCCAAGATGTTTTGATGTGGCTACCTAGACTAAGGTTCACGTTAGTCCCCCACTCATCTAGAAATCAATTTTGAAGGAATTTTTTTTTTTTCCTTTTTCTTCGTTCGTTTGGGGGTTTTTTGTAAATTTTTCAGCACAAAGGTTCAGCTCCACCTTTGCTTTACTCAAGCCCAGGAGGGAGCCAGGGATGGTGGAACCATTGGGAGGGACCCTGGAGCTCACCCAGTGCCACCCTGGCGGGGCAGGGCCACCTCCCAGGGTCCAGCCTGGCCTGGGATGGTGGAACCATTGGGAGGACCCTGGAGCTCACCCAGTGCCACCCTGGCGGGGCAGGGTCACCTCCCAGGGTCCAGCCTGGCCAGGGATGGTGGAACCATTGGGAGGACCCTGGAGCTCACCCAGTGCCACCCTGGCGGGGCAGGGTCACCTCCCGCTGCCCCGGGGTCCAGCCTGGCCTGGAGCCTGCAGGGACAGAGCCCCGGGCTCTCAGGACACCCTCCCTGGCAGGACAGTGCCCAGCTGGGGTGGCCAACAGGAGCCTTCTCCTCCAGGCTGGGTGACCTGGGCACCCACAGGGACACGTCCCCAACTCCAGGGACCATCCCCAGGAGCCACCAGGGCTCGGGACCCTCCCCCTCCAAACGGCCCTTCGGGATCGGCTTGATTAAACTGAAGCCTGATCTGTCCTTTGGGGTTTTTATTTTTTCTTACACTTCATAAATGTTCATTTTGAGTTGAATTTGTAGCTTGGACTTTAAGGTAGCATGGCTCTCTTTGCTGTAAGTTGATTTTTTTTTTCCATTGTACAGCAGCGTCTGCTGGTGAATGTCACACATCTTGCTAGGCTTAGTTAAATCATTGGGTAATTGTGGGTGATAACGACCTGAAAGGTGTTGGGATTTCTTTTCTTCCCTGCTTTCATCTGTAGTGTGAATGAGGGCTAGCGACTCCAGCCACACGTCCCTTCCTGTTTCGTTTCCGCCATTCACTCAATGCAACATAATCAATAATAAAGCAATATAGTTTACTACATTTTTACTGAAGGCCAGCCATGGTTCTGTATGATATTGCATATGAAACTGTTTACAAAAACAAAAAAAAAACCTAAAAAAAAAAACTAAAAAAAAACACTAACTCATAGCTGTCTTTTATGCTATGGCGATGTCTCTTGGGTGGAATCTTCTGAATTCTTTTTTTTAGTGGTTTGGTTTGTTTTTTTCAAAGCGACATAGCTGAAGAGAGGGAGGAGTGAGGTTAGTGCTGGCAGGGTGCCTGGCAGGCACAGGGGCAGCCGCTCTGCTCTGCACACAGACACTGTAGAGATTCCTCCGCACACACTGCAGCCGGCCCAGCGCGACGTGAGGCGTCTGTCAGCTAAGCAATACTTTAATACTGTAATGAAGTTACCAAAAAGAACCACAATAATAATAATAATAATAATAATAATAATTTTTAAAAAGATAAAAAAAAAAACAAACTGTAGTTTGAGAAAGCAAATCCTCGTGGTGGGTTGTCGGCCCCCCCCCACCCCAGCAGTCCGACCGTGTTGTGTGGAGAGCTCGGTGTCCGAGCAGGGCCCGGTGGCCAGAGGGGTCACCCTGGCTCAGGGGGGCCACCCTGGCCCAGTGGGGTCACTCTGGTCCAGAGGGGTCACCCTGGCTCGGGGGGGGGTCACCCCAGCCCAGCAGGGTCACCCTGGCTCAGGGGGGTCACCCTGGTCTAGAGGGGTCACCCTTGTCCAGAGGGGTCACCCTGGCTCAGCAGGGTCACTCTTGCTCAGGGGGGTCACTCTGGCTCATGGGGGTCACTCTGGCCCAGCAGGGTCACCCTGGCACAGAGGGGTCACCCTGGTCCAGAGGGGTCACTCTGGCACAGAGGGGTCACCCTGGCTCGGGGGGGGTCACCCCAGCCCAGAGGGGTCACCATGGTCCAGTGGGGCCACCCCAGCTCAGCAGGGTCACCCCAGCAGGGTCACCCCGGACCAGAGGGGTCACTCTGGATCAGGGGGATCACCCTGGTCCAGAGGGGTCCCCCAGCCCCACAGGGTCCCCCATTCCCAGCCCTGGCCCGGGCTCGTCTGTCGGTGCCCGCCGTAGGTAGCACCCCCGTCGTTCTCTGTCGTACGAGGTCTGAACTCCCATCAGTACTAGGATGCAAGTGAGCATTTCAGGTGGTCATAAATGTACCTAAATAAACTATGGCACAGTGGCAGGCCTAGCCCTTCCTTTTATACTTTAGTATGAACTGATGAGAACTTTGGTAGTGACTTTTTTTTTATATATATACATATATATATGTATCTATATATATCAAGCATCTTTCAGGTCTCTGTGTATGGCTTTCTGAAGCCCTGTTGTAAAATACTATGTGGATGGGGGTCTCTCACATCACAGATGTGGAAAGTATAATTTTATATTTGTATTTTCAAATAAATAAGTTTGTGAAAGGTTTCCATCCTCTACTGTGGTCCAGAAATCAATGTGTTTGTCTGACGAAAAAATACAATAAACTGTTTTGAACAGATCCATGGAGTCCATTTCATTGGGGGGAGGGGGGTGATATTTATTCCTTGGGGGGGTGAGATCACCTCCATCACCCCAAAACTCATCACCTGTTGCCCGTCCTGCTCCCGAGCAGTGGGCAGCACATCCCTGCCCTGTCCCTGTGCCCCAAGGCTGGTCCCTCATCCTGAGCCCTGCCAGGCACATTTTGGCACCATCAGCACTAATCCTGTTTCCAGGAGGGGCAGCGGGTGGTGTCCAGTCCTGCTGGATAAATTCCCAGTGCCCCCCACCCTTCTCCTCCCTGGAGCGACCCCCCCAGCGCTCCTTCAGGCTGCAAACACTCATCGTTCATTATTCATCATCCCGGGATCACACAGGTTCCTTTCCCGGGGAGAACAGGGGTGGGGTTGGGGTTGGGGTTGGGGCTGGGCAGGTGGAGGGGTGCTGCAGCCCCAGCAGAGCCCCCAGCCCTGCAGCCCCTCCGGGGGTCCCACCGAAGGGCCGGCAGGATGCAGGACGGGCTCTGCAAAGCACTCAACACATCCAGCCCTTAATGGGGCTGATGATTAGTGGAGCACCGAGGGGAAAATTAGATTAGAAAAACAAATGAAAATCATTTCGGAAGTCGTGTTTGTTCGGGGTGGAAGGAGCTTCCACTGCGAGGGCTGCAGGAAACGATTTGACTGCAATCCAGGAGAAAAGGAGCGCGGGTCTGGAGTACATTAGTGTGGTGGGAGGCCGGGAATAGCAGCCACTTAACCCTGTCATTCAGCAAACATTAGTGAATTATGAGAGCATTATATGTGGGTGATGTGTTTTGTGCAAAGCCCGCGGGCCACTGTAGCAGCACCGCAATGGGAGTGGGGGTCGGTGTCAAAATGTAAATTTTTATACCAGCTCTGGAACAAAAATAAGATATTGTGTTCGCCTCCCAGCTACTGAAATCAAATTGCAGCCGAAATCAGAGTTGTAAAATAAGCAAAAATTTCCCTTCCCTGTCAAATTAGCGCCCCGATAAAGAAAACAAGGGAGATAAATGTGATTTACTTCCTCTCCCTCCTGTCATAAACATTTATGGCCGGGCTGTAAGGACGAGCTGCAGGAGGCAGCTGGGGCCACCGGGGTGAGCAGAGTCACCCTCTGGGGGTCTGTGGGCACAAAGGTGAGCCCCTGCCCCCTGTGCCACATCCCAGCCCGTGCCCCGTCTGCAGCCCTGTCCCACAGGCTGTCCCAAAACCTCGGGGTAAATCTTGGGGTTTTTAACCTGCTTGGAGGCCTTGAGCACCCTCTGCTCTCGGGCAGAGCCGTGCACCCCCCTCACATCCCGAGGCTGCAGCACAAACCAAGCCAGCATTTATTAATTATGAGCTTAAGCGCTCCCTTTCACGGCTATTTACAAGGGCCGCCTCATTATTAATACAGAATAATAAAACAGAGGGGTTTAAAACTCATTTGTTCCACTGGGTACCAGTCCCTGTGGTGGCACCAGCCCGGATGCCACCCAGCCTGAGAGCACTGGGGCCGTGATGGTGATGAAACCCACCCAAAAAACCAAAATCCCTTCACCTTTCTGCCTTCAATTCTATCAGATACCGTCAGAAATGAGCAGTTCCAGCAGCTCCACGTGTGGAGGGCACAGCTTTCAGCTGGTCACGAGGGTGAGGAGAGACACTTGTAATTCATTAGCGCTTGGCAAAGGGCACGGTCCTTGACTCTGTTTGTGCATCGGCAAAGGCTCTTCCTGCTCTTCACCTCCACGGCAACGGGGACGAGCACGGAGCAGCTCCCGCGGCAAGCAGAGCCAGCACACAGTCCTGGAATGGGCTGGGATGGAAATAACTTCAAAAATCACCCAGTCCCACCCCCTGCCATGGGCAGGGACACTTTCCACTGTGCCAGGCTGCTCCTGGCCATCCAACCTGGCCTTGGGCACTGCCAGCTTCTCTGGAGCCTGTGCCAGGCCTCCCCACCCTCACAGGGAAGAATTTCTTCCCCATATCCAAACTAAATCTTCCTTCCTTCAGCTTGGAGACATTCCCCTTGTCCTATCACTGCACACTCCTGTGAAACTAAAGTCTCTTTCAGTCTGAGTGGAAGAGCCTGGTCCCCAAAGCCTGTCCCCAAAGCCACTGCATCCCACGGTGGCAGCAAGCCAGGTCCCCAGCCTGACCTCCCCAACACCAACACTCAACCTGAGGGGTCAGGGCTGCTGGGATTTGGGCACATTGCCACTCTGCTGAATTCCCTGGAGCCCGGGGAGCAGCCAGGTCCTGGTGACAGTGACAGTGCCCAGCCCCAGCCTGCTGCTGTGACACTTGGAGTGGCACTGGCCCCGGGAGCGGGGGACAGGAGCCCACGCACTGCTCCTGCACTAATAATTACTGATTAAAAACCAGTGAAAGAGCCAGTGGAGGCTGGAACGTGCATTAACCAGGTCACCCTGCCCCGTGCCAGCCCCGGGATGGGAGCAGGCACAGCAGGAGCCCTGGCACTGCCTGCAGGGCCTGGTGACACCCACAGGGACCTGCCACCTCCTGTGCCCACAGAGCGCGGGCTCTGGTGTGACACCAACGTCAGCAAGAGCAAAAAGCAGGAGAAAGTTCCTGCTTTTGCCTGTTCTAAGCCCACAGTGCATTTTGGCCACCAATAAACGTGCTCGGGATTTACACAGGGCTTCAGCTCTTCAAAGCAGCAGTTTGTTCCTCTCAGCCCCTTTCATCCAGACATCCAAAGTGCTTCCTGTCCGTCCTTTCACAGCCTTTTGATGGGTGGGGAATTCCTCTTTTGTGATATTGGAAAAGTGAGCCTGGCTGGGCTGTGAGCTGCCAGCCCTCCTGACGGGAGGTGGAGCCCAGGCCAGGTCCTGTCCCTGTCCCTGTCCCTGTCCCTGTCCCTGTCCCTGTCCCTGTCCCTGTCCCTGTCCCGCTTTGGCCCAGCAGGGGCTGGGTTACCCAGGAAAGGAGCCTGAGCTGAGCTGGGGAAGGGATGAACACCCAAGGGATGGGGAAGGGATGGACACCCAGAGGGATGGGGAAGGGGGTGAACACCCGCAGGGCTGCAGCCTTGGGCCGGGCTCAGCATCACCCCCGGTGATCCGGGGAGGGCAGAGGGATGGCAGAGGGGATGGCAGAGGGATGGCAGAGGGATGTCACCGGGGATGGCAGAGGGATGGCAGAGGAATGGCACCGGGGAGGGCAGAGGGATGGCAGAGGGGATGGCAGAGGGATGGCAGAGGGATGTCACCGGGGATGGCAGAGGGATGGCAGAGGAATGGCACCGGGGATGGCAGAGGGATGGCAGAGGGGATGGCAGAGGGATGGCAGAGGGATGGCAGAGGGATGTCACCGGGGATGGCAGAGGGGATGGCAGAGGGATGGCAGAGGGATGTCACCGGGGATGGCAGAGGGATGGCAGCGGGGATGGCAGAGGGATGGCGGCGTCCTGGCTGCGGGGCGGACACCGCAAGGTCACCGCAGCCCCGGCCCCTCAGGCGCGGAGCCCACCCGGGGGCCCAGCCCCAGCCCGGGGCTCTCCAACAATGCTCTGCCATCAGCAATCAGAGCATCCCCGGCCGCCCTTACAAAATCAAGAGGCAAAAT